GATTATTTTTTAATGTTTTTTTACAAATTAAACGACAAAAAATATAGCAAATGTTGATAAATGTCAAAACCTGAATAAAAGTAGATTTTTTAATATTTATAAAATTAAAATAACTACTTAACAGGTATACATAGGGCTGACCGCATTGCTTCCCTGAAATTACTCAATTCCCACCGGTTTGAGATCCCCTGATATAGGTAATAAAAAGAGGTAAGATAAACTACTTTTAGCATATTTATATTGGCATATATAGAAATTTATATTAGATATACAAAAAAATTTATGCAAAATTTGTACAAATTTACATAAAATATATTTTTTGTTGTTGTTTTTGTTACTGATCCTAACTGATTAGCCATTAGGCTAGACCAGATCCATGAGTCCAAGGGCCGTCAATATTTCCAAAACGAAAATAGGTCTTTTCAATAGGTCCTCTTTTCAATAAGTCCCAAACATATGAGAAAATGTCCAGGAGTGAAATGATCAGTATTACATTTCCTACACATGGAGTAGATTTTATTTCTCCGATCAAATTTAAAATATTTCAGGTATCCACTTAGGAGCCTCGTCAAAGTAGTCTGCTGAGCACGATTACCCCCAAAAGCAATAGGACCTCCCAGCTGCCAAAGTACCAATCATGAGCCGGAGGAGACTGCCAGGAAGAGGCAAGAGTAAATTTAACTCTCGAGCAGATCTCCATAAAGAACAGGGTGCCAGTGTCACAGTCATTAAAGTACCTTCCTTAGCCAGGGCATCAGCCGTTTCATTACCACTGAGGCCAGTATGTGATGGAATTCATTGCAGATGTACGTACATCATGACGGGAAGAGAGTTTTGACAGTAAATATATTTTTACAAGATATATGAATGTGTGTAAGTGTAATATATTCTGTGGGTAAAGTTTCGTTGATACACTCGTAAGCACGTTGAAAAGCATGCAAATAGGCTCATAGGATCCTGGCGGCTATTATAATCTCCCATATTTATTCCGCATATATATTGAAATTTAGATAGGTTAGGTTATTTAATTACGGCGAAGCCTCGAGGGCTATCTGCTTAAGGGGAGGGATGCCTTCGTGGAGGACTTTCTAAGGGAAACTCGTATACACGTTACACATGGGAAGAGCCACGAAAACACCCATGCAGCCAGCCCATTCGCAGGATTCGAACTTCGGACCGAACTACCAGTGTTCAGCGACTTTACCGCTCGGCCGCTGGTGAGCCAAAAATTACATTACAAATTGAAATTTAGGAAACAGCTGTGTAGATACAGAAAATGACATAATGAAGAAGGAAAAAACTTAACAGACGTAGCTGAAGACAACAAGAAGCAATTTATCTCTATTACACTTTATTCTTATGTATGTGTATTCGCAATCACACACCATTTTGGGCGCGACAAGCACCCCGACAATTTTACATAACTTGTCACATCTGCACACAATGCATGAAGCGGTCCACCAGCAGGGAAAGTCGCTGAATACAAGTAATTACTATGCTGAACATCAGGGTTTATATACTATTAAACTGCCGAAAATATTTTAATATCTGTTCAACTAAATTTAATTTCGTTAGTTACTAGACTGTTTATATCAGATTTCGATAATATTTGATAATGTGTAAAATATCAGGGATATCTTTTCTTTAGCTCATTTTGATAATATTTACGCAACGAACAGATTAATAAATCAACTATCATACGGTGAAAGGAGGCTTTAATCATGCTTTTAAAACCCGTTCATTGTGCGGTTGATTAGATCATGTGGTTATACATATACATTGAGCAGTTAAAACAATATCAGAAAGGCAATGATGGCAAAATACAAATTAAATGTTAAGATGAAAAGTGTTTACAGGATATAAGTAAATGGCATTGGTCTTCTAAAATAATACAAAATTCTTGTGGTCATTGAAAGTCTTATCAGTTGCTTTCATGAAAGCCCGCAACAGCAGTGACTTATAAAGAAGTCACTGCTGTTGCGGGCAGTGACTTTTTTATATATATCTGTGCATCTCTGACAGATATATATAAAGAATCTCTGGTCAATAAAGAAACGTAAAAATTTACATTTAAATTTAAATTGTATGTTATTTTGATAAAGAAATATTTCCTAATGAAAACTGGAGGGTTTTAGTCATTTATGCTATATAAAGATTTTCGTGAGTTTACCGTTCAGATAAATTTTGGTATAGAAAAATTAACACTGGTTGCGCTTCAAATCCTTTTTTTACAATCATTTGCATTATTAGTTTCTGAAGAATATTTATTATTGTACGAATGGTCATTTATTATTGTACAGATGGCCATTCTGAGACGTTCAAGAATTTGGATTGTTTCTGGAAGGTTTTATAATAATGAATTTCTTTTATATACTGGTCATTTTTTGCCAATTTTGGTTTAAAAAAGTGTAGTAAATATTCTCATAACAATACTGAACGGGCAACCCAAATTTTCCACTGTTCTCCATCACAGAAACCTTCATGAGAGGGCTCCAGCAACAAGATGCCGGCACGCTTTGAACATCAGTTTCGAAATTGAAAGTAACAGCCTTATAAGTATCGTTGAAATCTTTATGCTGGAGCTATTCAAATATTGTTTTCGCTTACCTTATTTATTGGAACAGAAAACTAAACGGTTACTTTTTAGTGACCAGGTGTGAAAGAATAGTCCCAACGTAGCCCATGCGTGTCTTAAGAAGGCGAGTAAAATACTCAGTGACCGGAGGTATAGCTGGCTCCTCCGCCTCCTGTGATTTATAAATAAGGAGGCCTGGCCCTTCAGGTTAGGATTGAGAGTAGGGTTAACAACCCTACTTTGTTAAAAACTTCTTACGAAATCCAATAAAGAAAAATACAGGATGGCTGCGCAGAATTGGTTTGAAGGACCAGGTGGTTCTTTATTTAGTTGTGTAGTCGACAAGATAGAAATTACCAATGTATTTTCGATAGATATAAATTACCGATACAGTATATAAAAACGTAAGCTTTAAAGATTTATCTGGGAAACAAATTCATTCAAACTTGCGCCATTCATTTCAAGGCCCAAAATAGCATTTAAGCTGGTAGCCAAACAGTGATATCCTTTGTTAACTTAAGACTACATAAATTCGCTCAAATACGAATCTCAGTTATGTCGCGTGATTTCGCGGTGTTTTTTATTGAGCCATTTTTCGGAATCCAGTAGTCTTTCGATGTTTTGAGTATAATGGTAGCATTCAGAAGTTTTCAGAATTCTCCACTGCTGTTGTGATGACGACAATATTTTCTTAATGAATACTCCACTGCTGTAGAAGTATATCTCAAATTTTAATCATTTTCCCAACATGCAAGAGAGAAACAGACAAACAGCAGTTAATTTAAATACATTACAAGGTATTTCTCCTGCCTTTTTGGCATGCCTTCATGGTGTGGTGGTCTGCACGCTGGGCGCATATTCCAGAGGTCCGTGGTTTCGATTTTCGGCGAAGGCATTGCTCATTTTCCATCTTTCCTACTTCCAATTAACCTAAATAAATGGTAGTAAAAGTGGCAGCCAAATACACGGAAATATTTTGCTACCACTTTTTATGGTTTTAGATTATAAGTAATTGAGCTATCTTTGTAAGGGAATGCAACATGCCCATTGATGATCTGATGGTTTTTCAGGGCATAACTGCATTATTAGATGATACATTACTATAAATTTTTGCAGCCTTTCAAATTCATTTGATTGCATCTTTCTAATATTGCACATTGTTTTATTCAATTACTTGTTGATTTGTTGCTTTCAGGATAAACGTTTTTGGTATTATTTTATTTGTAACGGAAATTGTGGCCACATGCTTTTCCTATAAATGTAAAGATGATTTCTCCCTCCTTTCTGCGTGCCTCCATAGTGTAACTGGATAGCACTTCCGCCTGACAGCTAGGAATTACGGTGTTCGAATCCCGATGAAGGTATTGCACATTTTACATGTCTTCTGCATCAAAAAGTCTAATGACTCTACAAATATCTATTTCTTAAGGAACATCTTTCAATTTCGAGTCCAACAATATTTAAATTGTAAAAATTACTTAACTAAAATGTGAGGTTTGGGCGGAAACTCTCCCGATTAGCCTTGGCGACATTTGGTGATTTCTTGCCTTCTTGGTTAAATTTTAGAAGGTTCATGAAAACGCACTTTCGAAATTCGAGTAGCGATTTTTCTCGAAGTTTTCAGAAGCTCGTGAACTTTTACTGGTCTGAAAGCCATGCCGAGTCAGTTGTTATTTAGCTGCGAGAGTTTACGGTTTAAAGAAGAGTTAGATAAATTACCGAATTTGCCGGCGTATAAGACGCACTGGCCTATAAGACGCACCCGCTTTTTATACACATTTTTTAAGAATAACACTTTATTACAGATCATTATAGTGAATTTACAGTATTTTAAACATAAAGTAATACAAATACAAAGTAATTCTTTCTGCAAATACCCAATCTATCTGGGAAAGAACACCTTTTAATCTTTTACGTCAAAATCCAGACACTCATCTCCAGAGTTAAATGAAGAGTCACTTGGAACGTCTTCTAAATCAGCATCTAAGTTCTCATACAACAAATTGTCCTTTGTACCACCCAGTGCATTACTGATGCCAGACTTCTTAAAGGATTAACCACAAGAAAGTGCATCTTATACGCCGGCAAATACGGTATATTTTAGAGTTTACAAGCTCTTACGATATTTCTCGTTTGCTAAGGAGAAATTGCTTAGTATGTGCATTATCCTTGAGCTATTTGCAGCAACTTTGCCTTGTGACGTACTATTTATAATAAGCTATCAGTTTCTTCCAATTCATCTGGAATCATTATTCAAACAGACAGCCAAGACACCGTAGCTCTCAACAATACTAAGCAAATATTTGAGGGCTTTTTAAACACAGAAAGAAAGAAGAATAATTCTCTCTTTACTCTTTAATTTTGTTGAATTCATTATTGTAATGTGGTATCAGCTTTTTGTATCTGTTATAAAAAAGAATTTAAATGAGGCATTTTTTCACCCTTTTATTTTTGAGACAAAAAATACACAAGTATGGTTATTTATATTAAAACTTACTCAAAGGACAATCGTTGGACTGCAACATGTCCAGATGGAAAATGTACTTTCATTTTCGCAGCTAATGTTTGCTTTTATTTCATTCTAATGGCGTTTTGATTGTAATTGTCAAAACCTGAGTACACTTTTAAGATTATGAGATATCTGAAACAACAGAACACACTATTTGTAGAGTAAATAATATTCCTAAAAGAAAGCTCTAATAATTAGAAAATCATCAACTTCTAAATTTAATTGCTCAAGAGTACTAGTTCTTCATTGAAATTGTCATTTCTTATTTTTATGTAGACAGAGTACCACAGAGAGAAGAGGGAGAAAAGGAAAACAGCTATTTGCATCAAGGTTTGCTGCGTGCAGTTGAATCTACTGCATAAGAAGTGGAGCATGAGGAAGAGTCGAGGTAGAGTATAACTGTAAATGATAGCATCTTCAGCAAGCTTGTTGCACTGGCGAAAGACCTGCCTTCTTTTCTGGAATTCAGCCTGTAAGAAAACGACAAATTTAGGTAAAAATATTAATAATGCATTTTATTAATTCAGTTTGCTTTCTGTCATTAATATTTAGTAAATGTGGATCCATATTTTCCATCATGGGAACCATATCGAGGCTAACCATATATTATCGTTGAGCAAGGGGAGGTGATCACGTTATTTACATTTCGTTCTACCTTAATTAGAGGAATTATTTTCTTAAGTTCAAATGATAGGATTTTCCTTTCTTATAATTTTCCCACATTATATAACCCAAAGGACAAAAAATAAAATACAGTCGATTCCGATTAATCGTACCACATCGGGAAGCGATCGTTTTGGTCCTAATAACCGGCTAGTCCGATGACATGAACATGTCCTATGTTGTAAAACGGGGTGCTATATGTGGCAAACAATAAATGTACATGTAAATCATGTACTAAACTATAATTATGACCTTTATTGTGCGGTACACACGTATGGAGAACATACATGTACAAACAAGAACTACAGTCGAACTTTTTCATTGAGAAAATTAATTTAGAAACAAATTCTAAGAAACAATCTCCACGATACTCAGCATGCGAAGCACAGTAAAAAAAAAATTCTTACCAAGTTCCAGTCAACATTTGAAGAACTTATCTAATGTGATCTGACGCGTTCTCTTGACGGATTGCACGTGAACGAAATATCTAACGCAGCAATGGTCACAAACATCTAACGCAGCAATGGGACTTCCTTCATTTCCCTCCTGCATGAAATACCGACGCTAAGTTTCAATGCATTTCCTTGCATCCTGTGTTGTCACTTGCACCAACTTATTAGCGGCATCATCATCATCATCACTTTCTTGTTCTTCCGATGCTGTCGTGTGTTTTGCTGCAACTCGAGCAACGATTGCAGCGTCGTAATCTTCATTTTCATAGTAGCATTGAAGCTCTTGTCGATGGATAAAAATTGTTCGCAATTTTGGACCTGTTGAAGATCATTTTCACTTTCAATGAGCATGTCTACATCCATTTCCGAAGCCAAGTGCTTAAAGCCACAGTGAGAAAAAGAGTTCTGAATTGTCTCACTGCTCACTTTTCGTCAGCTGTCGACCACAAATGTAACTGCTTGTAAGATGTTGAACTTTGCACTGACTTCGCTGGCTTTTGACGATGAGGTCAGCAAACTTTCTTCAGTTGCTTCAAGGATGTAATCAACAAACCTTGCACGATAAAGGGTCTTCAGATTTTTGATGATGCCCATGTCCATTGGCTGGACCAAAGACAAAGCTGTGGTCCTGGGAGGTAGAAATTCCAGTTGGATGTTCTTCAAGCAATCTAAATGAGGATGTGCTGCACAGTTGTCAAGAAGAAGCAACACTTTTCTCGACTGGCGTTGTAGCTCTCTGTCCCAGTCCTTCAACCTTTCTTTAAAACGTTCAGAGGTCATCCACGCATTTCTGTTCGCACTATACACAAATGGTAAACTCTCCATCCTAAATGTTTGAAGCAGCAAGGCTTAGTGCTTTTTTCTATAACCAACACCTTCCTCTTGTCCTGACATGTTAGAGCAGCGCAAGACAGCTACGCGATCCATCGCTTTTTTGGAGCCAGAGAGTGCAACATGTTTGTAACTTAACGAGCCGTACGGTGGAGCACAATAATACAGCCAAGTTTCATCAGCATTGTAGATGTCATCTGCTGAAAAATGTTCAAGAAACTCGGGTAGTTTTGTTGATTTCCTTTCTTCAGCATCTGCACTATCAACACTTTCCTTCTCTCCATGTGCTTTCTTGAATTTTATGTCATGTCTAGATTTCTATTGAGACTACCAACCGTCCGTAGCTTTAAAGTCATCGTGACCCAGCTTTTCAGCGAGTTCTTCTGCTTTGCATTTTAACATTGGGCCGCTTACTCGCACATTTTGTCCAGTAACAATGGCAAACCATTCATTAAGGGTCTCATCGACGTTTGGATCCTTGCCTTGACGCTTCCGTTTTTTGAAAATTCCTCCTCGTCCTTCACATTGTGCCCATTCTTCTCGCAGCTCATTCTCTTGTTTTATCAAGTGCGAAATTTTAGTCTTTGCCAATCCGGTAATTTCCACCAACCGACGCTGACTAGTGTTTCGTGGTTTTGCTTGATCTTATCCAGGAAACCAATTTTTTCAGCTAACTTCAAGTCCCGTCGTGGCATTTTTGCAGAGGAGACAAGACACGAGCACAGTTCACTGACTAAAGTGGTGTGAAGAAACCTTTGTGTTTCAGGGTCAAGATGTTGAGGTCAAGAGGGAGATAACAGGCTCGCCATTCAAAGCTTTGGCACTAAAATCATTCCAAAAGGGTGGTGAAATGATAGCTTTCTCGTGTAAACTTTAATCATGATTGACAGGCGGGAATTCTTTTCTGGTGAAGCCTGACACTCTATTGTTCATTTCATCAAAAATCGGAGACGCATTGAGACCAATAACCTCGCTGACGGCCATTGGTAGCTCTGTTTTAAGAAAGGTCAAAGATAATGTTGCGCGTGTTCCACTGGTTTTGCTCTTGTCATGCACTTTAAGGAATTCCTGACCTTTGATAAAGCTCCTAAGAAGTTACAGATCCTCCCATATGTCGCTGACTACCTATACATCCGTTGTACGCGGTCGACTTGTGGCTTCTGTTTCTTATTCACTCTCACGTTGTTTTGGTCCGATTAAACGGAATTTTGGTCCAAATAAGCGAATAATATTAGGCTTATGTACATAGGATTTGTTTCGGTTCTTTAGGATTCGGTCCGAAAAAGCGGCTGGTCGAATTATCTGGTGGTCCAATTAACCGGATTCGACTATATAGAAATAAATATCTTTAGTTACATGTTTTTAGTCAAATGCACTGAAAAAGAAAAATGACAATTTTTTTCTACCATAAATATTCTTGTTCACATGGGAGAGGAGAGAACTAAAAGCAAAATCGTAGGATTTCCAACAATGGGGAGTTTTTAGTCAAAAATTTCCAAGGATAAATTTAGGTGAATTGAAATAATTATTCTTGCGTACGTCATTCTTCTGTTTTTACAGACATTAAGATTTTCAGAACAAGAAAGTGAAAAATTGAAACATATTTACTTTCAAAATCTGAGATTTTTTACCTCACTTCTGATGTTTATGAAGTATTCATTTATAAATAAATTAGAAAAATATGAAGTTAATTATTCTGGGGAATAACAGTTTCTTTGTCTTATATCTGTCATTTGTTTTTGACAAAGTTTGGCCAAAAACTACTTCAGTTTTTGTCTATTACCTCAACAATTTAAGCTACAGGATAGTCTCTCTTTGTCTCAAAAGTTATAAAAAATATGTAAAGGAAAATAAAGGGAAAACCTTATCAAATATTCAAATATACTGTTCACGAAAAGTAGTTTTATACATAGTTATTGCAAGTTAAATTTTATTCATACAAAAAACTTAACTAATAGTAAAGTTTTTCAACCAAACGGTAAACATATATGTTGAGGTAAAATTTTCACTTATGGCTTTTTCTGGAGTATTTAATCAGGGGGCATTCTCGCTTGATACTCCAACAATTGTCAGTCATTACATGTACATTCCATCTATCTTGGTATTGTGCCTCCATAACCTTCAAACCTCGATGGAATGGCCAACCCTATTGATCATTGACCGCACCATGATTTTTTGGAAGTTATCGAGATGGCTATATAACAAGTGCGGTTTGATGCTCATGTTACAACTAAGCATTTTGAAGCTGTCCAAAAGTTGCTTGACAATTTCGCCATAGTTCTGTGTCAGTGCATTTCCAAGAAAGTCTCTGACAATGAAATTGCCAAGTAAGCATTCTTTTGAAAGTCTGTCATTGTTCCGACAAAATTTTCATATTTAAGAAGCTGCCGAATCTGTGGACTATCAAACACACCGGTCTTTATCGTCTGAAATGACAGGTTAAGAAATTCCAAAATGAGATACTTGAAACAGTCTCCTTCAGTTGGCAAAGCTTTTACAAATTGCTTCATGAGACCCAATTTTATATCCAGAGTGGAAAATGTAATGTTCTTTCTGTTGACAAGTAGCTGATCTAGAACGTTTGGAACACCAGGTTTCAGATCAGATCTTGGTGGCCAATTCTACTGCACCCAATGCTTCCCACGAGCTCTGCTGTACCACATACGCCAAAAACAGAGATGTTTCGTACATCCGCGTTGCTGTCCAAGGAGGAAAAAGACCATTTTAAGGTCAACATAGTTAGTCCGTTGGTGCATGTGATATTGCAACAAATCAATGACTGTCTTTATGTCGTCTTCATATTCTTCACACAAACAAACTGAATGGTCGATTGGGACTGCACCAAATAAATTACCATTGTGGAGGACTGCACCAAATAAATTACCATTGAGTTGCGTTACAGGCTTAAATTCCCAACTCTTCCATTAAACCATGCACATTATGGCAATACACAAATCAATTCAGCTCTTCTAAAGTACTGCAGAAACGCACTTTCTCTTGATTGAAAGGATACCTTATCTTCTTTTTCAAGCAAGTTTTTCTCGTGCAGTCTTGATGACAACAGCTTTGAAGCTTTTCTGGATAGTGCCAAATCTCGTGCTAAATCATGCTGATCAAATACTTTACGAAAGAAATCATCTTCAATTTCAAAATTTTCGTCCTTGAAGTCAATTCGATATTCACCGGAATTGTATTCCTATATTTTGAAAGAGGGTAGTTCTTTGAAACTGGCACTGAGAGTACAACTGAGTGAGGCATTGGGCGTACCGCCCCTGATGGCAAACTAGGATACTCTATTTTGCATTTATTTTTCTTGGTTTATCCTGACATTTTCACCACATAAAAATAGAAATCGCTTCAATGATCTTTGTGCTCTCGCTCAATCATAGGTATATCGAATGGAAGTTTAGAACGCGTTCGCTTTATCCGCATCCGTAAACTCTCGACACACTGTTTTTACTTTGTGAGCGTGCTATGATTTATCCTGATCACCAATTTTCACTTTAAAATAGACAAAATAAGCT